GATGCTTTGGCTTCTCTTGAGGCAACTGAGGCCCAAGATATGAAGATGTGCTTGCTGACAGTGTGGTATGGTATATATATTGACAGCACAATGAAATTAGAGGCAGACGGAACCTGCTAGGTTAAAGCCACCATATGGCTAGCAGATGCAACCATTGCCTGCTAGGTTCATCTATAGACTGGATATGGGAGTCCAACACAAATGCAAAAATGGGTCAAAAAAGGCCTTATCCTGAAAGACATCAAGATTAATGATACAGTGCAATCTTGTGATTCTTGTCAATGCACTCAAATCATCTGGAGAGGAGAACTGTGATCCACCTGGGTCTAGCAGATTGATCACACTGACCCCCTGGCCTCCAGTCATAGGCACAGATGATGCCTCACTGCCAATAACATCTACCCAGGCTTTCGTACTGCTATGCCAATCTGGCATGTGAATGCTGGCTGTAATTACCATAGCTGCCCTTGAACAAAACTTGTCATATTTTTGGATACTCCATGGGACTTCACTTTAACCAAGGAATATCCTTCACTGCCCAAGCAAGATTCTCATGGAATATGGTGAACTCTTCTCATTGAGTATGTACTGTATCACTTGCATGCCAATGGGAGGTCACCAAATGAATGAATGGCTGATTTAAACAGCCACTAAAGAAAGGATATCAAGACGGCCTGTTAGTAGATAGGTACCCCACCTGACTAGAGCTGCATGGCTAATAAACACTACACTCCAGTGCAAGGGAAACATGGCACTGTGACACGCTGGGAAATACTGAGCTTCTATGAGGTGGCAGTAGATTGGGCAGCTGTATGCTTAGGCTGTGTCCTCAAAATCCCAATCTCAGTATACTAACCATTCTTTTTTTTCCCTCTTGGAGTGTATGTCTCTGGAGTGTCTTGCAGTTCTGGCTGCCATAGGACCCTGACTCTAATCGGGATGTGGTGCTTCCTTGTACCTCCCTCCTATGAGATACCACAAGAGTGGGAGAGAAAACCAAGGAGAATCAGGGTTCTAGGGTCTCTGTCTAGTGGTCCAATCAGGTGTGTGATGTTATTAGACATGTCAGGTTTGTACAGGATGTGACCTTCCCTCCTGGACTGGCCAAAGAGGCCAAGAAGTCTGGGTCAGGCAACAAGAGCACTGGGTGCTCACAGCAGCACCAGGATTGGGGCAGACAGCCTGGGTTGCAGTAGCCAGGGAACTAACATCACAAGGAGCAGAGCAGAGCTTCCAACCTCAGGAGATTCATGGATGGGAGAGGGGTGGGAACAGCAATCTTTCCTCTTCTTATTCCCACAGAATCCTCTGCTATGCGTGGTACAATAACACCCTGATAAAAATCAGTACAGTCATAGAGAGAAGAGGCAAACTTAAACAATGCTGGATTTGTCATCCCAGAATGAAGACCCTTTCATTCCATACTCCCACTATAATGACTTGACTGATACACAACTATTTAGATCTGTCTCAAGATATCAAGGGGTCACTCCTTCAATACAGGTCCAAGTGCAGGCATGCTCTGGAGATTAATATTACCTGTGATGTGACAGAAGAAGACTTCTGTACCAGAATGGTTATTATTGGTCTATAATGACATTTTGGACTTGGATGTCCAGTGTATAACGTTTCTCTCTCCTACCACGCAGCAGAAGCAGGCTGAGACTGTATAACTCGGTTAATCCCTGATGGGGCATCACCTGTACCCTTTTGGGTTATATATTTCTCTGTGGACTCCAATGGGCAATAGAATGTCTGCCTCCAGGGTAAGGATTTTGTTGCCTTAGAGTTCTAGGGCCCACCATCCATGTTAGCAACTGTACAAAGGGCTAGAAAATATCCACTTGGCTAACTTACCACAGAGTGGCTCATAGTTCCCTCCTGGGGACACAAACTAAGGACTGGATTTATTCTGCTACCCATAATCTAATACTAGGCATTGGTATACAGGCCATAGAAAAAATGGTGTACAACCTATCCTTAACCATGGCAGGCTATTGCCCAAGTCATCTAAGACCAACCAGACTTCACTGAACTCACTAGTCTCGGTGGTGATGGGTAACCATATGGCTCTCTGCCATCTGATGGCCTAACAGGGTGGTGTCTGTGTTACTGCAGCATTTCTTGCTGTGCATACATCAACAATTTGGGGGATTAAAAAACTTAGCTCGTGAATATACATGCTCAGGTGGAATGGTTATCAGCTGTATATTCATAGTCCCCCTGGGACTCACATTTTCACCTCTTAAATTGGCTTAATCTTGGGGTTCCTAGTAAAGTACAATTCATATCAATACAGGTTGTTCAGGAACCCCAGTGGACCTAACTCTGCCTCTAAGTTTGGGGTGGGCAACAGTCCTAAAGGATTTGATATGCTCCATCTACCACTTCAGTTACCAAGCAGTGGTGAGGGGTGAACTGTTTGGAAAGGCAGTCTATGCAGTCTTTTGGCCCCTGCCTGGCTCCATAAGAATGGGCCTTGGGCCTGGACTGCTTCCTTACCAAGAGATGAGTCCCCATATCTTGTTTCGGGTTTACTGCCTTGTGTGGAAATACCTTTCCTGATTCAGACTCAGTGTGTGTTCTTTGTTCTGCTTAAGCATGTGACTCATATGATACCTGGCCAACCCTACGACTAAATATGTCCTGACAGGAAGGGACAGAGTCCTTAGTTCTGTGGTACAAGAGGGGTGCATGCAGGGCAACCGCTCTGTGTTGACTGCTGGGAGGGGCCTGCTGGCCATAGGGGACTGATACACACTACTGAAGCTGATCTTGCTCTGTCCCTTTCTCTATGTGAGTAAAGCACTCTTCCATCCAGTGCTTGACTATGTTGATTTTCTTAGCGATCCTGATATCAAGATGCAGTTGGCAGAGGTGTTCAAAGTTCTACTTCTGGAGACAGGCAACAGACATCATTTGCTTGCTATACTCGAAGCTAAAGAGGTTTTCAGTGAACTTAAGAGAAATAGAATATGAGGTGAAATCAACATCGAGAAGAGGAAATGGGGTGGACTAACTGAAAATAATATCCCACTGAAGCACTTCAGAAATTGTGATATGAGGAATCAAGCACAGGCAAGAAAGTAGAAGAATCATATACATAAGCTAAAAGCAAAACCAGTGCAGTAATACTGACAAAATGCAAAGGACAGAGAAAGGTAATCTAGGGTCATGAACATAAATACAAAAAGATTAAGATATTTAGCCCAGAACACAGAGATTACTATAGCTATATGTAAATTAACCTATTCAGTGTCACCCTCAATGACAGAACTAAAACCAATGGGTAAAAAGTTTAGAAATAAGTTTTGGTCAACAGAAAGACAAATTGAATCTCTAAAAACTCCTTTAGCTGTTGGAGACTATCTTTTTATTACCAAAGATTATACCTTAAAACTTATATAAATTGGCAATATTAAAAAAGTTTGTCTTATTTAGGAGGGTAGACTAGGTTATATCCTCTAATATACTTAAGTCAAGACAAAAGAAATAGCAACTTGTTATGTTGTATACCTTAAAATAATACAATGTTATATGTCAAGTATAGCTTAAAAATGGAAAAAATGCACTTGATAGTTAAAATATAATATTAAAAGAAAAAGACAGGATTTTATCAGCTCATCTGAAAATGCACAGGATGAGTCTGAAGGTAGAGGTCACAACCTACAGAATGAGCAGTTTCAACCAGATGATTAAAAGGAGAGAAAGCAATTGGCTATATTCCTCAGAGAAAAAAAGAACAAGGAGATGAGAGTGGGAATGACAAAAAAGAAAGTTTAGAAGGGATTAGTTAATACTTATATCCTTTTCTAAATAACTTCTAAATAAAGACTATAGGAGAGACTTATAAAACTGTATTTTTTATAGCAGTCCTTATATCATTTTATCAGCAATGTACCTCTTCCTTTATCTGGACAAAGGATTTCTACAAGCATTGTTTAGTGATTTATTTAAAAATGATGGTTGATTGTTTTTTGGTAAGCCAATCAAATTGGTGGTGTTTTCCAGTACTGGTGGCCATAAATATGGTAATTTTATTGTTATTTAAATTCAGTAGAAAAGGAAACTGGTGTGGTAGTGGTGGAGAATAAAAATACAGAACTATATTTCTACTAAAAAGTTCTTGTTAGGTTTAGCAGTGTGCATAATTCCACATTCTCTCACACTGAAATTTAACTGGATAAACCTGAGATGAGGTTTAGATGTGAAGGTCCCCAATTCAAAATAAGGATTAGACAAAGAAAACTGAATCAAGCTTGGGATTTATTAGTGTAGAGAAACAGATCTGAATTGCTAAGAAAGATAAATATTCAGGAAAATATTCACTATATACTAATTGGAGTTTCCTTCAAATGACATTGGGGAGAAAAACCCCTTTTAATCATCAATTAAAAATCAGTTATTGTGACTTTGAGCAATCAACTTGTAACAACCTCTCTATGCTCTGAACTCTCTCTTACAGCAAAAATGGCTGGTAACATTCCCTTGGGTCCTTTTATTGTAATTTATGTAATTTTGTGGTTTTCCAAAACATCTTTAATACTTTTAGCATTTAATACTGCTATTTAAAAAGTAAATGCTCTACAGGCTGGTAACAGTAAAATACAGAAAATAAGTCTTAGAATATTACCAAAACTATGTTAGAAGAAAAAAGAATATAATTGCATCAAAAAAATAAAATGTCTTCTAATAACTGTGATTCTTAACAGTTCAAATAATGGAATACAATAGTTTAAAACAAATTGTTTTAAGATCTCTATATTTGTGAACATCAGGTAATTTAAGACAGCATTACAACTAAGAGACAAAACTTTCATACAAGGGCTGATGTCTCAAATTTTATCATGGCTATTAAGTGAATAGTTATTCAGCTGTATCATCTTAATTTCCATTATTATTCCAACTTTTGAAAAACCAACTGCTGCTGTCCTAATTTCTAGCATTCTACTAGCAAGATAAGCGTATCTTCTACCAAAGCCTGAAACAGAGTAACTTACCCTGTCATGAAGAGTCCAGCCAACATATTTTAGGTAACTGTCATTTAGGAAGGCATCACTATACATTTTCATCCACACTCCAATTTCTTCAATACAAATGGCTCTGATCTCAGCAATAGCATCACTAGAGGAGAAAAGAAGAGACAAATGTCTGATTAATATTCAAACTTGGAATGTACATCATACTCATTTTCAACAAGCAATAAATAGTAATATTATTCCTACTGCTGTATTTATATATTACTCTCCAATAGCCCTAACTTGGGTACCTTCTTTTTCTTTTTCATATGGCTTCTGTAAAATAAAAACTACCAATACCCAACTGAAAAAAAAATATGCTTCTGGAAATCATCTTATCTTGACTCAACTACTCTATTTTTCAGTGGACTAGGAAATGGCATTTGGAGCTTTTGAAAGCCTCATAACTATTAGAGAGTCTACAAACATGTTCAATCTTCTGAAGCAACAGAGTACCATTATCCAAATGCAGAATGTATAACTCAAAAGCTGTCTCTCTAAAAAACTGACTTTCCCTAAGCTAGCATGCATCTAATGAATTAAAGTAAGTTTTATGACCAAGACACAAGTTAGTATCCACTAGGCAAAATGATAGAAGCCTACGTTATTTGAAAATGTATAATAGTTTACAAAACCCAATACCCTGAAGTTACGGCACAGGAAAATAAGGACTCACATTTAGTTACAATGGGAACAATCCTGGTGACTATACTGTGAAGTGGTGGTGGAACCAGCCCCAAAACTCAAGCTTCTGGCTCTGTGCCCAGATGGATTTTCATCTTACTATAAGCATCTAACACAACTCTCCTGGGATGACTTCCCTACTCTAAAATCTGTGAACCACAAATGTAATGTTAATATTTTTACTTTATCTTTCAACAGCTTATTAGTTCTAGCTAAAAACAAGTAACAAATAAAATAAATACTGACTTTCTTTTGTAGACTGACCTTCAAGGTTTCTGATTTATCATACATGTGTAAGTTAAAATTTTAGGTAATTTTTAACTCTTCAATTTACAAGGCAATCATCTATCAATTAATTAATTAATATGGCAATAATTGGGCTGGAATTTTACTGTTAAGAGAATGTTTGTAGTGTTTCTTTTGTGATAAAATGGATGTTAGCATTCTAATAGTTACTTCTCCACTCTAATAAATCTCAGTTTTTTCAAAGTCCCTTAATTGCTTAAGAATAAAAATGTGAGTAACTCTTTCAAAGCCATCACTAATCACAATCTTTTGTTCTTAATTTTTTTTGTTAATATCTTTGTATCATGCACAGATTCCATTGCTAGAGGCCAATGGTACAGGCTCTGAAGCAAGGCACCCTAAGGTCAGATCCTGGCTCTGCTAATTACTAGCTGTGTAGCTTTAGGCAAGTTACTTCCCTCTTTCTTAGATTTTCTCGTATGTAAAATAGGAATAAAAACTGTACCCAAAGGTCACAGAGTCACTTTGAGAATGTAATCGTTTAGTAAAAGTAAAATACTTAGCACTGTGCCTGGCACCTACTAAATCTTCCATAAATGTTCACTATTATAATCTTTTAATTATCAATCTAGACATTTACAGACAATACGGTAGAAAGAATAGCTTTATTGCAACTGTGAAAGAATGCTCCTAGAACTTTGTAATACTGAACATGAAGGGCTCAAGGGCGTTTGTTTTTCTCTAAATATGAAAAATTTCAGACATAAAAACATTATAGAGGATAATATAATGAATATCTGTCTATCCACTCAGTTAAGAAATATTACAATGGAAACTTCCTATATAACTCTTACTGTTGTAGCTCCCTTCCCAAGAGTAAATAACTATCCTTGACTCAATGACAATAATTCCCATTGGTATCTTATGCTTTAACTTTATATGTATTGTTTTATGTATCTTGAAACGCTACATAAATAATATCCTGTAAGTATCCTCTCCAACTTGATTTTCACAAACTATGTTTTACAATTTGTTCATACTGATTCATATAGCTCCAGCTCTAATACATTAATTTTAACTGATGTTCAGTGTTCCTTTCAATATATACATATTACAAATTATTCATACATTCTCACACTGGCAGACATACATGTTGTTTCCAAGTTTTTTGTTTTTTATTAAGAATGAATGCCATGAACATTTTTGTACATGTCTCCCTGTGCACATCTGTGTGAGTTACCCTAAGGCAGTGTTTTTCAAACAGTGCATCACTGTTTATCAGCATATTATGAAGTCAATTTACTGAGTGGCAACAAAAACATAAAAGAATTTAGGATAGAGAATACTAAAATGCCTGACATGTGGTAAAGGTAAATTAGTTTTATTCTGGGAACTACTGTGTACCTGATGTAGGACATGATCAGCTAAGTCTGTAAGACACTGTTTTTATACCCAGAAGTGAAATTACAAGGTGAGAAGGATATACATTTCCACCTTTATTAGGTATTAACATACTTCTCCATAAATTAGTGCTTTACATCCTTGCCCAACATTTGGTATTGTTCTACTACTAAATATAAATTTCCATCTTTGTGAACTACAGATTCATGTTTTGTCTTCTACTGGACTGTCCAAATAAAAACAAATGATTACAGCAAATACAAAACAAAAAGGCTATCCTCCAAAAACAAAACTCCAAATTGTATCATCTTAGTTCTCCTAGTTCTACCAAGATGTGATGCATCACCCAGAGATCCATCACACTTATTCTCTGTTGCATTACCTTTGTGAAAAATCAATCCTAAAAAACAAAAACAAAAACAGGCTGAGTTTTTTATTATTCAATGTCAGGGAAGCAGGCTGAGGACTAAATGAGATTATGCATGACTAATTCCTAAGGCTAGAAAATGTATAAGAAGCTTTACTGCAGTAGGACAAGTTTGTTAGTAACTTTTATAACCATCGCTACATTGAAGTATAATTTCGAATGCCTTTTAGTCTTGTTTATTAGACTCCTAAAAGTTTATGTTCTTAGAACACAGCTCCTCTTTGTATGCACTGCCAACATACTGATATAGTTTGTCTTCTTGGAATCCCCATCCTTGTCTACTTCAGATGTCACTCTGACCTTTCTCATCTTAACTTCAAAATTTTCAATATCCTCTTTTCAACATACAATTTGACTGTGTGTGGTCAGATGGCCCATTATGCTATTATTAAAGGTCTCTGGGTGATGTGTCTCCTATTTGGCTTCTAGAGCTCCAATCCACGTTGCCTGCTGATACCATGCTGCTAATCATTCTCTATATGTAATCACAGACTATGCAATAAAATTGAACTCCTTTGTGGTGTTCTATGTTCACAAATTCTTACTATTTAATATTCCTCTTGGAGACAAATTCCTCTCTTCTCGAATGTGGGTGTACTTAGTAACTTGTTTCTAACAAATATAATGTGATGGAAATAATGAATTTTGACTCCTGAGATTAGGTCAAAAAAAGACCCTGTGACTTCTGCTTTGTTCTCTCTTGGATCAATCTGTCTCAGTGGTCATTCTCTCTGAGCTATGTCTTGTGGACATCCTAGCTGCCCTATACATAACTCCATTAGTGAGTAACTGGGGTCTTCTCCCACCAGCCATAAGAGTAAGCCATTTTAGAAGCAGATACTCCAACTCTAGCCAAGCCTTTAAATGACTTCGGCCTCAACCAAAGTCTTGATTGCAACATGTTGAGAAAACTTACTTAAGCCAGAACCACCTTGTTAGGCAACTCCCAAATTCCTGACCCACAGAAACTATGACATAATAAATGTTTGTTGTTTTACATTGCCAAGTTTAGGAGTAAATTTTAGTCCTAACAAAAGATATTATTAGTTTTTATTATTATTGAAGGTCCTTACTAATCTAGCCATAACCAACCCTCTTCTAGTCTGGTCCATGAATTAATTCTTCTTCAGTTCAAATAGCTCAAGTGCATTAGCATCTACATATCTGTGGTCATCTCTGCTTACAATGCCCTCATTCTACTCTGATTACCTATACTGATTATTCATTCAAGCTCCAGTGAGGTCTCAGTTCTTCCATGATTCCTGCTATATCTTACTACCAGATATAGCTTTCTCGTCCTCTAGGAACTAACATTCTAATTCAGTAGATAGAGTATAAAATAAAAATGTAGTATGTTTTTAAATATACCTGATTTGATTACAATGCATGTTTTGATATACAAATCATTTTTCTCATACACACAAGTCCTCCAATCCCTGGTTTGCATATTAAACTTCTTTTTAACACTTTGATCTCTGCTTCTAATGGCCCTCTCCATTTAGAAAGTTAATGTTTAGCTGCAGGTATTTGGAAATTTCCAGGGCAAAGAATAAAGGAGGGGACAAAAGTTAGTAAGAGGAATGGCATAAAGACAATCATTAGATGGACTAAATTTCGTAACTCTGGTATTGTGGCTGGGAAATGAACAACTGAAAATAAAGCAAGGATACACTTTATTTCCAAAGGAAGAGAGAGAGGTAGGGAAGGAAGTAGGGAAGGAGGGAGGGAGGGAGGGAGGAAGGAAGGAGGGAAGGAAGGAAGGGGAAAAGAAAAAGAAAAAGAAGAGGAGAAGAAAGGGGAGGGGAGGATAGAGGAAAGGGGAGGAGGAGAGAAGAAAGAAAAACTGGAACATAATTCTAGGGCAATTAATCCTTTGTTGTAACTATTTTACAGCATAAAATAATTATTGTACTCCTTTCTATGAAAACCTATATAATTTACTGATCTTCACAGTTAGTGTGCCTTTTTGAGAGACATGACCCTTTAATTTAATATCTGGACTTAAGTTTTCATTTTGGATTACATTCTTGGCAGGTGGAATTCAAATTATTTTCTGCTTACAACAAAATGAAATTAATTTTAGTGAATTTTAATTAAATGTTTCTTGTACTACCCTTAAAGATACTTTCCCAGTAGGCAAGTAGAATAAATTAAAATGCAACACAAATTTCAGAGATCCTCTTGGCTAATACGGATGTTTTGACACTTAAAATTATCTCTTACATACATGGAATCTCATATATTCCATGAGAGCTCTAGAGTAAGACACAATTACAAATCCTAAGAAGGTCTGCTATCTAAATTGTAACACAATAAATTCATGTGTCAACCAATTTTGTCTGATTATT